CCTGTACTCTGATTGGGAAAAATTTTCTAACCCTTATTCTATCCTACTTTGCAAAACTTCTATTCTTATCTTAACCTACAACGTTTTGATCTCACCTTCCCTTAACCTTACCAAAATTGGAAGACTTTAAAAGTGATAAACAACACAAATAATATCACGTTGGAGATGTAATGGGTAAGCTTTTATCGTACTGTGTATCTGAGATGCGATCGGTGTAACACGACTTTTTAAAAACGAAGCGATTCCATCTCTGCTCTATATTCTGGCTGAGAAAATTTTTATAATCCTAACTTACTCTGTAGAGTAGTTTATGGGAATTCTGCACATCTCTAATCATAGTACACAATTTAAAGAAATAGATTTGATAACCATGTTGTCTCTACATAAACTCTTTGAATGTCAATTTTTATGAGTTTAAATGAACACTTCTCTATTGTAACATGTTACGATTCATTCTTTGAAATATTTAAAAAATATTAAAATTCTTTACAAATCATGATTAACTTTAAGCTGTTTTTTTTGTCTAACCGTAATTAAATTGAATGATTTTGGTTATTTCTAGTTGTATGAACGACGTGATCGACATCAAAATCCAAATCTTTTTTTTATTGAATTTCATGATGTTGGTGGAAGTGTACAGCATAAAAATAGTCGATCATCAATGTTTTATGATGAATTTAATGGTAACAAGAAAGACACAAGGATACTTTTTATTTCTCATTTATTCTTGAAATTTTGCAGGAATTATACTCGTATCCGATTTAACCAATCGACAATCATATGACAATCTCAAAGAATGGCTTTATGAAGTTATTTGTTATCGATCACAACAAAAGCTGTAAAAGAAAAACTTGCCTTTGCTTTTGTTTTGTTGATATAAGTCTTTTTTATTAGTCCGACAGAGTTTACACCTGAAGTATTACAAAATTTCGATGTACCACTTCTATTAGTTCATACAAAATTCGATGAATCCAATGGAACATCATTATTAAATAATAGTAAATCAACAAATATGATAAACAATCATTCATTTTCATCAACTAGTTTATTACCAAATTATAATCGAAAATCGGCACTAGCTAATTTATTTAATTGCGATGAAATATTTATCGTAAACGAAACATTTTTTTTCTCTAAAATAAGAAATTATTACCTTATCTGTTTATAGAATTGTGATTCAAATAAACAATTTTCAATTGATGCACCTAATGTTTCGAAATTAAATTCATTTTTTGAAAAAGTATATCTTCTTTATATTATTCTTTCAAAACAAAAAAGAATTATTTTCTTTTTCTCATAGATGATAAAAAAGGCGTCCATAGAACCAGTAGAACAAGTAATTAGCAGAAAAAAGCATTGTTTTTAAATCTTCATTTCTTTTTATTTTAGCTTCCACAGCCTGATTGGCTAGCTTCAGAAAATCACTATATCCATTAATATATATATATGTTATTTTTTCAATTTATTTTTGTTTATCTAATTATCGCCAATAGCACGGGGAACAATACAAATAAATCTATATCAATATTTCGACGATATGATTCCAATTCGTCGATTTTTGTTTAGGATAGTATTTAAAAATAAATAAAAAAATGACATAATTTATATTCACACTTTAGTAGGAAACTTTGAGCAAGACTAAAATATAAAATTATAATGAAATTGTGCTTATAATCGCATTTTTTCTTTGTGATACAAATGAAGTTGGAGTGTAACTTTTTTCTCGATAGACTATCAAACACGAAATTGTCATTTGTACAAAATTGATTCATATGTTGATATTTATTATGGTCTGTAGGCATTCTATAACTAGAGCGCGTCGTATTCAACATTTTTGAACTCAAGCCCGATGGATTAAACTTTTTCAGACACAATCAAGTCGTATTTTGATAGTCTCAATAAAATATTCTAATCAAAATTGAATAGTCGCCTAGAAGATACGAGATACTTTTTCGATTTTTTTTGCATTCGGTGATTAGCACATCCTACACATTTCTCAGATAACTAGTGCTCATAAGATTCAAAATTTTCAGATTCGTTAACAGAAAAATTTCAGATCGATATATCTCGAACCTTCTTTACATTGACGTAAAATTAATTGTAATGTAACGGAGGAATTTTTACACCATGTACAATATGAATAAATGTAACACTTCGAGTTGAAATAAATCTCATGAATGAGGAATAATAAATTGAGTTCAAAACAATGATAATACTACTGTTTCCAACTTTTATTGAAGATAGTCTCTGTTATAGAGTTTCATAATTAATAAAAAGAAATGGATTGAGAATTATTTGTTTTAACTTTTTTCATGAATTATCAATAGTTTATATCATTGATGATTCAGTAAAATAATAAAAAGCGAACAAGTAAATCATTCAAGTACTCAGTAATATTGACATTCGATTATTTCGAAATGATAGAAAAAATAATTTAAGAAAAAAATACTTTGATAATTTTAATTATCTTAAACTAGAATTATATTTAACGATCAATAATAACATTAAGTTTTTTCTATTTCTATCATAGATATAAGCATTAGAATATTTTATTCGTTTTCTCCTCTAGTTATGTCCCATCGAAAAGGTGCGATTAATCTTTTTGTCATATATTATCAATTCATAAAATACTCTTAACAAAAAATGAGTCTTATCACTAGAACAGATCAAATTTATTATTTATTTTTTGTATTAGTTTTTTACAGCATAAAATGAACTTTGATATTAAAAAAAAAAATAAAAATAAAAAGCGACACATCTTAAATTAAATCAATAACTATTCAAATACCTGTTACATTAGCTGAACGAGATGAACAATTAGATACTGTCAATTTAAATTTGTCATCTATCGATTCAATAGATAGTGATAGAAATCAAAATTTAGATACTATTAAATGATTAAGACAACATTGACTAGATGCCTTTCGTAGTCTAATTAGTGGTTTCTTAGGAAAAAAAGTCTTTCAAAACTGATTTGTAATTCAAATTTCTTCTTATTAACGTTAGTATGCTAATGGATGAGACAAAAGTTTTGCATCAATGTTGGTATTGATGTAACAATGCAATGCGATATTGTGCAGATTTTATACTTTTCTTTATTAGAAAAAAAAGAATATCTAATGCACAAATATATGAAAGGGTTTAACCGGAAATATTTCCTGAAGATCACAAAAATCCGAGAATAAAAGGTATTAAGAAATCCTTCCGTAACTTCGATGAGAAATTTTGTAACCAAATATATTTGTTTGACTTTTTTTCATTATTAACTTTTAATGTTTTTCTCAGGGTCATATATATATACATAACTATTAATTACAACGATGTCTTTCATGTGATAATAAAACAGTTGGTTTAAAGTACAAGAGATTGGACAATAAATATTTTAATTAAACAATCAATTTGACATGTATGACGTAAAAGCAAAATTTTATCTGAATATCTGACAAAGAAACTATGTCCTATTTCAAATAACAATGTTCAATAGAGAACTCGATAAACTTTTTTTCATATCAAATATAAAGATATTCTAATAACTTCTCTTTTGGAGTAGAACTTACGAGGGAATACCCCTAGGTGAAGCTCCACTTTTGACGTGATATTTTGCCTATATATAGACCTTAGTGAGAGTAGAAAAACCCTAAAAGGGTTTTCGGTTTCTGGCGCTTCCTTCTTGAGCTATGACCGTTTTAGCAAAATTTTGACCCTATGGTAGATAGTTTCGAAAAATTTTATTTTGAGGATTTTAATCTGAAACTTTGCCGACAGACAGCTCTTATAGATACTAGATTATCCTGAAAGTTTCGACAAAAACGAATGTATCCTTCTCAATATATTTAATTGGCAAAAAAATCGGCATTTGTCATACTAAAGATACAATAATTGAGTTTCCTGTAAATTCCATATCTCGCGAAGGATACATTTGTTTTTGTCGAAACTTTCAGAATAATCTAGTATCTATAAGAGCTGTCTGTCGGCAAAATTTCAGATCAAAATTCTCAAAATGAAATTTTTCGAAACTACCTACCATAGGGCCAAAATTTTGCTAAAACGGTCATAGCTCAAGAAGGAAGCACTAGAGACCCAAACCCTTTTAGAGTTTTTCTACTCTCACTAAGGCCTATATATGGGCAAAATATCACGTCAAAAGTGGAGCTTCACCTAGGGGTGTTCCATCGTTAGTGTTTTTTCTTGTGATTCATAATTACGAGCAATTGGTGATACCAGAAGATGACATAATAATGTTCATATCGATCGTTCGTTAAATATTTTGTTTGTTGCGTAATACACTTTCACCCTTTCTCCTTATAAAACTTAGAAAAGATGACTAACAAGAAAATCTTCCATATTTTGTGAATTTTTTTGTCTAAATTCAATAGAGCTGCAAAACAATTTCCTGATACATTTCATTCTAAGATTTCTATGATCATCAGAAAACATTTTTGATCTGATTTTTCCATATAGTTTTACACTAGACATTTCGCTCTTTCTAACAATAAAAGGAACAAGACTCTATGATATTATATTGCATTGCTATGTCAAAAATAAACTTAATGTAGAAATTTCGCTCGATCTATTAATTAATTTATCTTCATGATAAAATCATTTGTTTCAGTTTCCTGAAAACTTAATTAATTCCTTGTCTTGTTTGAATATAGAATTAATATTATTAATCGAACTTATTTTAGAATCAATTAAAATATTTAGTTGAGCTACAAACTGTCATGCATTCTTCAAAGTATTTAGCTATAAATATTAATGAAAAAATCGTTCAATAAAACCTATGTTTCAATGATATTAATCAACGTTTGAAAGAATTCCATTGAAGCAAAATAAAAGAAAAAACAATATCAGTATTTAAAAAAGATTATCTAGTTTTTTTTCTCTTAAACCGATCTTATCTTGTTTGTAAACATGCATTAAAAAGAAAAAGAAATAATAAAAAAAAAGAAAAAGAAAAGAAATCACATAATTAAATGAGTTTTTCTGCTTTAATAGACTTATTATTGAAGTAACAATGCGACCTAAAACAAAACAAATTAAAATTAAAATTAAATTCTAATTTTATTTTTAAATAAACCTTTTCTGGATTCATTTGTGAACATCTCCAATTGTAAATATAATATTGAAGATTTCCATCACCAACACCAAATTTAAGTTTTTCTAAAAATTCTTTATTATCCATTAGATCAAGTGCATTGAATACGTCGAAATCATTCTTAAAAATAAAAGAATAAAACAAAATTAATTAAAAAAAAAAATAAAACAAAATTTGATTTACATTGTGTGCATGTATAAGACAATCGTTAACAAGATCAGGAAGTGGTGTACGACTTGCAGCATGATAATACATATAACATGCATTTAATGTATTATATTGTTGATGATTCATAATTGTTGATGATAAATGATAATAAGATATAAAATCTGTTATTTCGCCATCTTCTTGCTTTAAAATGAAAAAACAAAATAAGTAAAAATTTTGTTTCAATAAAATTTTTTCATTTTTACTTCAACAACAAATGAGCTAACAATATTTGAACGATTTTGGCACAGATATTCAAATTCTTCTTGAGTAAATATAGGCGCTAAATCAAACTTTTTTAAATACTAAAAATAAATAAATTTTTTTTTTACTTTTCTTTGATTAAATCTAAATTTAAAAAAAGTTCAATTGACTTACTTGAGTAAGCAGAGCAAAAGCTTTTGGAACATCCGATTCACGCATTACACGAAAACCTTTTATATGTGTTTCCTATTTAAGTAATAAAACATATTCAACAAGTTACGTTTGTTCCTTCTAAATAAAATAACAATCTTTACTTCAGGTAATCGATTGAGTCTTTGCATTCTTTGTAATGTCATATTTCTGCCCAAATGAGAAAATTTAACAGCTAATAATTTTTTGACATTGAGTGATCGATGCCAATACCTATTTTAATTATATATATATATATACATGTGTTTGTATTGCAGAAAAACTATGTTAAAAATAATTTACGTACCTACATTTGCTAACAATACCTGGTAGAACAACGCCAGCTGTGTAAACAGCTTGAAAGATGCCTTCCAAGTTAACACGTCGTGTTATTTCTTTGATTAAAACAGGAGCCATACGTTTTAAACGTAATTTTTTGTGTACACACAAAAAATTAATTTCAACCATTGGAACTTCCCTTATGAAGAAAAACGAATATAGTATTTACATAGGTGTGAAAAGAAAACTGAAAAATGATGTATTTATATTGATATCATTTGTATCAATTATACAAACGTTATCAATTTTGTTTCATCTAAATATTTTTCTTTCTGTTGAAGGTATTGTCAATTATTAGTGTTTAAATTATCGCTTATCTACTTCCGACATACAAGCTTTTACTAAACTATTATTTACAATTCATTATCATATTTCCTAGTCGAGGAATCAAAATTAATGATTGAATGTGTAATGAAAGCTTTCTAAATAGATGCAGCCCTAAGTGCAATTCAATCAATGGAGTTTAGTGAGTAGGTAAGTATTCTAGAGTGATTCTGTTTGTTGATGAGATATCGAATTTTTAGTGAATTTTTCTTGCTAAGTTCTAGTTTTCAAGCGAAATTATACTTTTCAATTTTGATTTGACCTCTTGCCTACTTAGAGCCATTGATTAGACTCTAAGTCTTTGCAGCACATGTATCGTCTAAAATATAGATGCTTTTTTTTTACAAAAAACCGTCAAAAAGCGTATATATTTTAAACGAGGGGTGGACCACTTCCCGACTTCATAGAGAAACCGTTCCACTTCTAGAAGAAATGGTTTAACCTCAAATAAATAAGCAGAAATTTTTTTTTCAACATCGAATTCCCCTTCAATACAAATCAATACTTCACTATATACCATAAGAAATGGTTATTTTTTAAGACGAAGTCCTTCATCCACATCTCCAGTTTCAAGGCGAAATGGAAATAAAGTGTAGAGAAATGCATAATTTTTCTACTAGAAATGGATATTTTCCATTGGAAATGGTTACTTTTCAAGGAGAAGTGCTTCATCCATATCTCCATTGATAAGGAGAAGTCTAAAAGACTTAGAGAGAAGTCGATCAGTTGATCTTCTTTCTTTCCATTTCTTCTTGTTGAACCATTTCTCTCTGAAAGAAAAACCATTTCCCTTTAAATTCAAGTATATGCACAATATCATAGAATAGATTATATGTATATATATATATTTTTTTTTTCTTTCTTTTCATTTCTCCTTGTTATCCATGATTTTATGTGGGGTGAAGCATTTCTCCATAAACGGGAACAATTTCCCCAACGACTTCGTACTATTGTCCACTGCTGTTTTAAACATGCAATACCTTGAAAAAACTTAGAGTCTAATCTGTGCCTCTATGTGGTTAAAGTTTTAGATCAAAATTCAAACGTATGATTTTTCTTGAAAACTAAAAACCTATACAAAAATTTCACTAAAATTTGAAGTCTTAACAACAATGGCTCAATAGTTCATGCCGCTCTAGAATATCGACTTAAGAAGTTATATCGATTGACTATAGTCACAGATTGAAAACGATTTATCACTCGGAAACTTTTCATCGCTAATCTAGAAGTTCGATCATCTGTAACTAATTGATTACATTAAAAATATCACGTTAATCAGTTTAGTCAATGGAGAAATAACTGAAGATTTTCAAAATTTTCCACAAGAGCGGCTATTTTTTTTCAGTGGTTAACTTCTCTAGGAGGATAAAACTGAACCGTTCTTGTATGTTGCAAGAGTTTCAGTCAAAAAAAAAACACTTGCTATGTTAATCAACAAGATTTACTTAACTCAATATATCTTCATTCTTAGTTAGCATAACAAATCTTATGAGAAATTTAGGCAAAAATATTGAATTGTATAATTATTTATGGTAAATTTTAGTATTATTAGAATAAAATAAAAAATATTTACTTGTCATAAACTTTCATTCTAATTGGTACGGCACTAATAAAACCAACCATTTTAGAACTTTTTGTTACACGTACAGCTACATGCCATTTTCGAATCCATCCTGGTGCACATAAAGCCCTAAAATATAATAATTCATTTTTTAACAATTATTCTTCTAAGAATTTTCAACAAGACTTACCATCGTAAAAATGGCATTGAATAATCAAAACGAAACATATTATCATCATCTTCAACATAGTTTTCGTTTAAAAGAACATATAATTCCTTTAACTAAATATTAAAAAAATTATCATTAAGTTCAACTTCTGTTTTCTTCAAATAGTTTGTTTTTTGTTTTACTTGTTCTCCATCAAGAATATCAACTTCATCCCATGTAAATCCATCTGGTAATTTATATGGTTCTTGTTTTAATTCTTCAATAGGTTTATTTTCTTCTACAGGTCCATTATTTTCTGATGGTACTTTTGTTCCAATACTTGGTACTGGCTGTGTCTGCCAAAATTTCCATTCTTGTCTTGATGCAGCTTCTTCATCAGATTTTGGTGCACTTCGATTATTACTACTAGCACTAGCTTGTTCAGCTAGAACTATTTTTTTAAATAAATCTTGTACTTTTTCTGTTACACGTGCCTATTTTGAAAGAAAATATTAAAGAGATTTTTAATAGAATTATTCTTTTTACATTATTATTTTGTCCAGTTCCATCGGGTACATCAGTCGTTGTAGTGGCAACTGCAGCAGCTGTTGCTTTATTCTTTGATTTTTTTTGTGTTGATTTAGTTGTTTCACTAACAGATGATTCAGTTTGATTAGTATCGTGAAGCTCAGGTTGTTCTTGTTCGGCCATGGTTATAAAATCTGAAACAAGGATAATGATTGTAATGATAAATGAGTGAGTGAGCAATAAGGTAACGAAACGCAATTGTAAAGACCTTCAACGAATACAAACATGCATTGACATAGTTTTAAAAAATGAGAAAAGGAAATAACGTAAATGGTTATTGTACATAAAAAGAATTATGAAAAAGTTTAAATTTTATTTTGAAAGTTTTTTCGTATATTTCTTAGATGACGCTTTTTGTTTTCTTGCTAAGGCGAGGGTAGTAGAGGTTAAAATAAAAATGAATCTGATTCGTAAATTTTTGACCATTGATTGAAGAGAAATGTATTTATTTTTTTTTTCTTCGGCCTCTTTTTGACAAAGACTCAGTCTTTCACAATATTTTACTTTTTTGATCTCTCGTTTTGTTTTGGTTTATAATCTCAAGGAAAAAAAACAGAGATAACAAAATGAAACTCGTTCGATTTCTAATGAAATTAACTCATGAAAGTGTTACAATAGCACTTAAAAATGGTTCAAATGTTTTTGGTACAGTCATCGGTGTTGATATGTCAATGAATACACATTTAAAATCAGCTAAATTAACACCAAAAAATGGTGAACCAATTTCATTCGATTTTATTACTATTCGAGGTTTGCTCTCATTCAATGAATATAATTATAGAAAAAATAATTAAATTTGTTTTTCTTTTTTGTTGTAATTAGGTAACAATATTCGATATTTTATTTTGCCAGATAGTCTTCCATTAGATACATTACTTGTTGATGATACACCTAAAGCTAAAGCTAAACGTGAACGAACTGGTTCGTATTAAATATTGTAATATACGGATAAGAGCTAATTTATTATTTATTTTAGGTCCAACTGGTATGGGAGCCAGAGGTATGTGGAAAACATCTCTTGTTCTTGTGAAATTTTTATTTTATTTTATTTTGTATAATATAGGTCGTGGAAGAGGTCGTGGTCGTGGACGAGGTCGAGGAGGTGGCGGTGGAGGTAATCGTGAAGGTGGTAGCTTCGGTGGTCGAAATCGTTGATGTTAATATATCAAAGAGTATGACTGGCTTAATAACAATGTCCGTTTTACTTTTGTCGTCTAGACAAGAGTTACTTTGTTTGTTTTTTGTTGTATTTCACTGTTGTCAAAGAAAAAAACGTGTTTGCTATAAAAAAAAAGATCTATTCTAGACAAGAAGATTTTTGATTTACTATAACCTCAATATATGAGTAGTAAACTGCCTCAATTTTATTTTAGTGAAAAAAAACTCCTTTGATGGAATTTGTACAAAAGTGCTGCATGGTCAGAGACGAATGGGAAGCATCACAAATTTCAGTCTAGAAGTCTCGTGAAATCTTTTGAAATCCTACAAAGTATTTTGAAACCTCATGAAGTCAGCCCAAGTCTTGTGAAGTTGCATGAAGTCTTTGAAATCTCTTGAAGTTTACTGTTTCGCCTCGATCAAAGAGTATAGTAATTGTACTATTTTTGTGGCAACTCAAGAACGAGAAATGCTACCGAGCATGACAAACCTGCTTAGAAGAATGATTGTGGGACGATACGATGAGTTCATCTTGTGTATATGTTGCAATATGTCTTTAACTCATGACATAAGGTTCAAGAAGAAGCACATATTAGTCACGAAAAGAAGATCATAAACTTGTAGAAGAGAAAAAGTTGAACATCATGATATATATGAGTAAATAATGAGAAAGTGAGATTTTCCATCATAATAATATGGCGTTTTTATCGTCGACAAAAAGCAACAGATTAGAAATCAACAGTCTATGTCACATTTACTTAGTCAAAACATATTTACTTAAGATAGGTGTCCCGAGACCACCAAGGTTAAGGGGTGGTCGATGACTCAGGAGGCTGATTGAAAAATTTTCTCTAATTTAATCGGGTTTCAGGAAAGGATTGAAGTTTTTTTTTGGAAGAATTGGTGAGTCAAAAATAACAATAAGACATCAGAAATCCGCTGGAGAAAAACGAAAACTTTCCAAGATGGGTGTGGAGGTACCGTTTACTTGCCATTTTATGATAAACTTTGAAACATTTTCTTTTCATTCGAGATATGTGACTGAATTTTCATCATACTGAATTTAATCAATAGAAAAAAGCATTATATAGTGGATATTTAAAACTAATTGAATATTTTGCTTTTGAAAATGAGCTCGATACAATTTGTTATAATTCTTTCAAACTAAAAGAAGCAAATATTTTTATGACTTAGCCTATTGGTTTCTACATAGATGAATATCCTAATTTGACTCGTTCGATCAGTCAAACTTGCAAGTCACTAACTTTACTCGTTTTCGAGTTACAGCGAAAATGATCATAGAAATCAGATTATTGATCATATATTGTAGTTCTATTTTGTTAAACATTATAAAATTATGATGAAAAGACAACATAAAAAAAAAATCATAGATATTTTATTTCTTATCTTACAGATCATGAAAATCAAAACTCAATATTATTTTCCATTCTTTTTATTTAATATTTTCTATACAATCAAATTATTAAAGCATCAGTAATTAATGCATAATAGAGTTCATTATAAGAAATAACTCCATCTTGATTTTTATCTATTTCAGATGTAACATGATAGAATTCTTCTTCATCAAGATCAATATCAAATTGTTTAAGTAAATGTTTAAATTCAATTTGAGTTAAATATCCTTGACGATTTTTATCGATTATTTTAAACACTCGGTAGATATTTCCATAATTATGTACACACTAAATCAAAATAAAAAAAAAAAAGTTTATTAAAACAAAAGTCAAATCAACATTCTTTTGTTTTTAATTTATTTACTTGAGTACGAATTCGATTAAGAATACAATTAATTGTAATTGGTAAACATGTCCAAGATTGCTTAAGGAATTTAAACATTTCAAAAAAAAAACATATATGTTTTTTTATTCTCTTACTTTTGATTGAATAACGTATGTTGAACGAGAAAAAATATTTAGATTACGATTTTTTAATGATGATTGATTAGAAAAATGTTGCATAAAATCAAAATAATTAAATTGTCCATTTCCTTTTGTTGAAAATAATAAGGCAAGTTCACATTGTTGATTATCATTCAAAGGAAAACAATATTTTTTCATTAAATTCTATGTGAAAAACAAAGCTGTTAGCACAGTTTTTGCAGGATTAACATGTGAAACACGATGGGGCTGCTGGTCTTGTAAAAGAGGGCATTAATCAATATACTTTCCGTTTATGAAAGCCAACCTACTGTTAATACATGTCAATAATGAAAGATGTCTATTCCAATATATATTACAGTGAGTATCAGAGATGAAACTGGTCTGACGAGGGAAGATCCCCAACTGATCAATTGTTTTTGTGTTGAGGCTATGTGCATTATGTAGATACAAAAGAGTTATGAATACCCTGAAAAGAGTTTGGGCTGCTAGCTTATTGCTACGGAGATACTGCACTTTTACGGTATGTTTTTAACCCTTTGAGGACGGGATTACTTTTCAAAAAGATCACGTTCTCGAAACTTCGCAATAATATCTCTGCTAGAAAGGTGTATCAGGATACAATACATATGGTGGTGTAGCATCACATCAGTGGTGAAGAATCCATAGTCTGCACTAAATGTAGATCACCACTNTACTAATATTGATTAAATCGATTTTTAGGATTATCATCCTGATTTTTCAAATTTAATTATCTATTCTCAAATTGTTTCTTTTACGAATATGACTCATACAATTTGTACACGTATGTTGAATATATTTTCTTTTTGAATAATATTTTATTAATAATTTTGTTTTTTTTATTTAATAGAAAAATGTTTTCATTCAATATCATTCAAGGAATCAAAAGCAGATGATCTAACTAATCAACATTCACCTGAACATCTTGATCTAATTAGATTAACAAAACAACATATAGTACGTGTTTATCCCGGTACGAAACGACAAAATTCAAGTAATATAAATCCAGCTCACTATTGGATTCATGGTATACAAAATTGTATTTGATATGTATAAATACATTCTATTGTTAATTTAGGTGTACAAATGGCTGCACTTAATTATCAAGCAGATGATAAAGCTATGTGCTTACAACGTGGATTCTTCAGTGATAATGGTGGATGTGGTTATCTTCTCAAACCATCATGTTTATTACCGGAAAATCAATCATTTGATCCAAAAGAAAAAAGTTACAATAAAGGCAAACATATACAAATACATATTATTAGTGGACAACACTTACCTAAAGAAAAGAATTCTATTGCAGATACAGATATCGTTGATCCTTATGTAGCAGTTCTTACCTATGGTATTGAATGTGATTCTACTGAGCATTATACACCATCAGTTCCTAATAATGGTCTCAATCCAATATGGGATTATAAAATTGATATAGATATTTTTTGTCCAGAATTATGTCTTATTCTATTTCAAGTACGTGATAAAGATCGATATGGCCCCTCAGCATTTCTTGGACAAGCTTGTGTACCATTTACAGCACTTCAATTTGGTTATAGACATATTAAATTAAAGGCTAAAGATGGAGATTATATTCAAGGAACAATATTTGTTCATATTAAAATTGAAGATTTTTGAACTTGTTTGTTTTTTATTCGATACTAGCTGAAGTATCGGGCGTTGCTCGGGAAAGTTCAATCTTAATATATGCATGAAAACTACGCATTGGGCTCGACAATATGTGGAAAATTTTGACCAGTGGGGAGCCCCGCTGGGAAACCTGTTCGTAGGCAGCCTAGCAAAATAAATGCCCTTTGATTGAAACAAAACAACAAATCTAATTGGTCTAAAGCCTCACTTTCGCAATCCATATTGATCGAGTGAATTAGGACGGCAAATCATACTTTGTACTGCTCGAATCACGCTGAATTCTGATTTGCTGCAAAGACACACACACAGACAGACAGTTTTTTGTGCGACAGACATATTTTTCAGCAACGTAAGAAGTCTATTTCTTTGAGCTAATGGTTGACGCATAGACTTTTGAACCTGACAAACTGTTTATTCAAAATCCCGACCTCAGACGATCTCCCGGAGACCAGTTTCCTCAAAACTCGATTTGCACTTAACACGGGTCTCCCGGTAGGATCACGACCGGCCTAATAGAGTTTTGAGATCAATAGACTTAAGATTCCTAATGCCCTTTTCCCGGCCATCCAGTGAGATTTCTTTTCCCCAAAACTCGATTTCTAGTGATTCGTTCTCAGAAAACTCGATCCCTGTTGATTTCCAGCCAACCCGAAGAATTTCGAGGCGAATCAACATCGAATTCGAACTCATCACGTGTAGAAACCGTTAGAGTACTGCTTCCGCGAAAATCCAATTTAGATCAGCTGGTTTCTTAGCAGCTTAATTCCTATTGGTTTTCAGCCAACCAATAGGATTTCAGACAAATGGATCCCTGATTCGAACTCATCGCCCTCGAAAACTTATGTTGACTTGCCTTCTGTTTGATCACGAAGTGCTGTTAAGTAGTTCTCCTATCCTACGAAATGCTGCAATCTCATTGGTCAGATACATAGTCCGACCTTTTGCGGGCGGAGAATCGATTTGTTTTCGGTAAAAAGTAGTCGTTGACCTTCCCTTGGACCCAATGGTGTGCCATGGAAAGTTTGGTGACGCTAGCTCTTACATGGACCAAATGCATAAAGAACAGACAGATAAACAAACAAACATTCTTCTTTATATATATAGATGATTATCAGATGTGCATATATGTTTTCTTTTTCTTTTTATGCAGCATTATTTAGTATACTTCTTTTTCAATAAAAATAAAGTTGATATTATGTCTGGTAATTATTTCAAAGAAGAGATTCATGATTTTTCTTTTTATTGCAATCAAAAATATAGCAATAAATGTGTTCAGTGAATAAAAAAATCTGTTTATATAGTTTTTCTTCTTGCAGAATGGTATTATTTCGATATTCATTAGAACTTTGTTCTCGATGTCATTCATTATCTCAACAAATTCGATTTCTGCATCGATCAACATTCCTTTTGGCGCGTGGTATTCGACGTTCAGTTGAACGTCCACAAATATCAACATCACCATTTACAAATTTAGATCAAAATATATCAGTAGATGATGATAATAATCAAATGTCTGTACAAGAACAATTTGCTCGTCTTGAATTACAACGACTTGAACAAGAATCAAAGAAGACTAAAGATGAACCTAATTCATTTATAGATGAAGATAATTTAAATCAAGAAGAATTTGAAAATGAAAATAATGAACAAAAACTATCACGACCATTCATCGATCCAAGTACAACAAGTATTATTCTTTTCCCTGGACAAGGTACACAATTTGTTGGCATGGGGTAAGTTTAATCATCAATTGTTTATATCGAAATAATGAAAACAATGATTTAGACAACAAGTTATTAATTATCCAAATGTCAAAGAAATGTTTAATATTGCTCATCGAATACTTGGTTATGATCTTTATTCCAAATGTATCAAAGGACCAATCGAAGAACTCAATCAAACTCTTTATGCTCAACCTGCTATTTATGTGACATCCTTAGCTGCTGTACAAAAACTTAAAAGTGAAAATCAAAAAGTAAATAATGATACCATTACTATATATAATTGAGAACAAATTAAATATTCAGTATTTTTTTTTGTCAACGTTCAGTATTCTATAGAATTTATTAGTAAATAAATCAAACTATCAGTATAAAATTTAGTGTTCAGTAACCAATTCAGTTTGTTCATTAAATGAATAGTATTTGTATCAATAGTCATTTTAATTTTTTTCGATGAATACATTTTGCTGTAAATAGAAGAATAATTCTTCTTGCTGACTGACGATGACATGAGCAATCAAAAGAATTTCTTATAATTATTTTGGTTTAAAAATGACAATGATGATGGAAATCGTTAAATCATCAGCTTATATTTCTGACGAGAATATTAATACAAATGAGATTGTAAATAAGAGAAAAAGTGAAAAAGAGACAACGAAATTAGATGAAAGAAATGATATTTAAAAATGCTAATGAAGCTGAAGAAGCAGTAATTAAAAACCTTACTGATGCAATAAACTTCTGTTTATTGTAATGTTACTATTTTTATTGAGCAAAAAATTCTGAGCAATTAAATACAAGTCTATATATTTTCATATTTACTTTTGTTTTTATTTAGGCAGTAGAAAGTTGTGTAGTAACAGCTGGTTTTAGTATTGGTGAAATAACAGCACTTGTCTTTGCTGGTTGTATGACTTATGAAGATGGTCTTCGTTTAATTAAGATTCGTGCTGAAGCAATGCAATCAGCATCAAATGAAGTAAATAGTGGAATGATGTCTGTCTTTGTTGGTCGTGAAACAAAATTAACACTAGCCATGGAAGCAGCACGAGAATGGTGCAATAAATATATGAAAATCGATGTACCTAGTATACAAATAGCTAATCATATGTATGCCGAATGTAAAGTACTTGCTGGACATAAGGAGGTTTGCCTTGCTCTTTTCTTTTTGCTTTTATAATAAATATATTAAAACTAGGCTTTACAATTCATTGCACATAATTATAAAGTATTTGGAATTCGTCGAATTAAGTATTTACCTGTAAGTGGTGCTTTTCATACACCATTGATGGCATCAGCGAAATTAAAATTGATCAAAGCATTAGACAAAATTGATATGCAACCACCACTTATTCAAGTCATGTCAAATGTAACTGGTAAATGTCACTCAAATGATGTTGCGACTATTAAGCGATCACTTACTCAACAATTAACAAAATGTGTATTATGGGAACAATCCATTCATAACATGTATCAACGATCAAAAAATGAATCTTATCCAAATACATTTGAATGTGGTCCTGGACGACAACTTGGTTATCTTCTTCGACTAAATAATAATAAAGCTTATCAACAGTATCATCATGTGGATGTTTGAAAAGTTTTTGTTTTATGTATAAAATACATAAAAAACCTTTTTAAAATAAACTTCAACAAGAAATCATTGTAAATTTATAAATATAAATCACTTAAAAAATCGTGCAGTTTTTCTGTTCTATTGAATATTCATATTCACGATTTTTGATGTAAAAGTTTCTACTTATTGACTATTCATGTTACATCAAATGAATCAAAACTTGAATGTTGTTCGTCGATAGAGATATTCTAATAGGACTACCACTGCTATTATTATTGCACTATGATTGTCTTAAATTAGAATAGATATAGAATTTCGTGATGTTTACTTTTTTGAAAGTAGTTTTCAAGCGTGCCTCAATTTCTGATCCGCCCAAATAAAATAGATGGCAATGCCGTCTTCATCTTTTTCTTTTTAGTGAAAACGATGCTGTTGTGCAAATAGACAATATTATTTTAATGAATAATTCTTTTTTGTATATTTTTTTATGAATCGTAGTTTCAGTGCAATCAAAAATTATGGAGCAAGTATGAGGTATAGTATTCACTCTCTTCGTCATACTTATCCATATCTCCGTGTTGGATCATTTACATATATTAATAAATCTAATAAAAAATTGTGATAAGAAACATTTTGTATTGTAAGTGTTATATAGATCAATGTACTAAGGACACTAAAACCATCGAACACATTTAGGAAACCTATAAAATAACAATAAGTAGTATGAGTCATTAAGTTTGACACTTTAGCTATAGTCGAAACCATAGGTCTAGATGAGAGGGTTATCCATTCTCCTTTTCGAATGTATCTGTCAAAATTTCCTGACTGATCAGCTGCCTGTCAAATCTTTCAGATGGACTGAATTTGTATCAGAGCTGAAGGCAGTCTTTAGTAAACTTTGGTGACTGTAGCATGGACCGAAACCGAGTCGAGTCAAATATGCAGGACTCGACTATTCAGGCACCTCAAATAATATATTTCTCGGGTGATACCAGCAAAGGATTGAAATTATGTTTCGATTGCTGTGCACAGTTGAAAGTGAAATAATAGCACTTTGTACTTTTTTCGGTGTTTCATATCGGGTTTTAGCCTGCTTCTATTCTGAAAGTTTTTGTTCGAATCAAATCGCAAACTTCTTCAATGGTTATTCTGTATTATCATCATTCGTCCTCTTCTCATATATTTCACTCATTTCAGATGCATAATTGTCATGTACTCCAACGCTTTCAATATATGATAGCTTCAGGCCCAGGATACTCTACGAGACAATCTATAATTGACACAAATCAAAGCGAGTGAGTGAGTGATCGATCATTTAAAGATCCGCAAATATTCACCGATTAGATTTTTGAGAAACCTAAGTAACCTGTGTGACTCCTAAAAGAATAGACTTTAGAAATTTGCCAACTACAGCTGTGGAGATTGCTAAGAAAGAAAGCAATATTGAGGATACCTACATGGAAACGAAATTATAATCAATAGTGACTGATGCATATGTTTTTAGTCGATACTCGGAAACTCGACTCGACTCGAGTTGAGTCAGACCTCTCATCAAGTCAAGCTCAGTGGAGTTTTGATTTTCTGACTCGTTTCGGTCTATGATCTGTAGTGGCAAGGTGGGTTGTCGTTTTCTGAAATTAAATCATGGACAACTGAGACTTTTAGAATCATGTCTGAAAAAACATTTCACT